CATGACGCTGGAATTGCTCAAACTGTACAAATAAATGATACTTACGGACATAACGTCTCATGAAACATACATGCTTTGCTTTGACCATACACAGTACAGACTTTTGGCAAGAAACGAAGAAGTGGAAGTGTGCAAAACTCTTTCTGATTGGTTGATTATACTCTACAGGAATGCTCATTAAGGAGTTTCTGTTGCCCATGCTGCAGACCGACCCTCCTCGTTTTTTTAGGTATTTTTGAGCTATAAAACCACCTGTAATTTAATAAATGTAAAGTAGGGCTGTTTAAAGGTTGTATAGAGGATTTTTTAAGGGAAGAGAAATACAGCGACAGTCCTTTTTCAAATGTTGTGCATGTGTGACACCACCTTTCTCCTCCACAGCTCCCTCAGTAGAAACATCTCCTCCTGCCTCCTTACTCTAGAAATCACGCTTGTTTACATCCAGTGCGTGTTCAGAATTACTGTTGAAGTGACCTGTCTAGAAATAATTTAGCGACCGACACGTCAGTTTTTAGACCCTTTGTCTGCTTCATTTGCACAATCGCTGGAAGAGATCTCCAAGAATCACCTCAGTTTGGCTTTGCTCCTTTTCCCCTTCTCTTCTTCTTTCAGTGACCACGAAAACGGACTTTCTTTTGCGGCGAACTGGTCGTGGATTCTCGTCTCCCATCGCAACAAACTTTGTGCGAATTGCAAGGAAGCGACACTTTGAAAAAGCCTCTAAGACCCGTTGCATAAACCATGTAATCCAAGCGCACCGGCGAGTCAGTTACACTAGAAACGTAGGGAGTTTGATTGACAACCCAACAGCCAATAGAAAATGAGGCAGCCTCGTTATCTATTGGCTGATGTTTATCTGGCCTCACTATGTTCACAGTTGAACGATTGTCATTCTTTTTTTTTTTTTGGTCATCATAATTACAAGGCTGCTGCATCTCTTTAATGGTATTTAAAATTTTCAGTGACAATTTGAAACAAAAAATAATAATCCTCCATACAACCTTTAATGTCACACTGTCCAGGCAGAGCAATGAAACAAGCAGGTGACGGACTGAAAAAGGTGACACAATACACCTTTAAACGACTACTCTTAAGCTTCAAAACTATTTATACCAAATGATCCTACATAAGTGCAGTTTTTAGTGTGGTTTCAGTGTCAGTGGCAGCTTATTTTGTCAGTTTGAGTGCACTTAAGTTGTGTTCTTAATTAGCGGTGGCATGGATCGTGACTCATCCCTCGTACCACTTCATGATGTCATAGAAAGCTGTGCGCATTTCTCGTCTCATCAAGTCATTTAAAGCCCGACTTTTAAATCCTTAAATTGTGGACTTAAGTTCGGAAAAGTGGGAACACGTCTATAGCAGCAGTTTATGGACTGTAAGACTCTAACATGCAGTAAAATGTCGGGTTCACGTGGGATCACAACGTTCTATATGCCACTAATATTTAATACAGATGAGGGCGGCGGTGGAAGAAGTACTGTGTTACTTAAGTACAGTGCTGGGGAGTAACAGATTACATGTACTAGAGTTATGTAATCAGAGTACAAATTATGAGTAACTCTATTAGGTTACAGTTACTGTTTCAATGAGTGGTAATTGGATTACAGTTACTTTGTTGAAATAAATGGATTACATGGCGGTATTTTACTGTTTTCACATTTTGGGCTATTCCCTTTTGTTGTTTTTTTTGGTAATTCCACTCATTGCTGGACTCTAAACCAGGGCTAAAACCAGGTCTAAACCCAGGTCCAAACCAGGTGTAAACCAGGTGTAAACCAGGTCCAAACCAGGTCTAAACCAGGTCTAAACCAGGTCTAAACCAGGTCTAAACCAGGTCCAAACCAGGTCTAAACCAGGTCTAAACCAGGTCTAAACCAGGACTAAACCCAAGTCTAAACCAGGTCTAAACCCAGGTCCAAACCAGGTCCAAACCAGGTGTAAACCAGGTCCAAACCAGGTCTAAACTAGGACTAAACCAGGTCTAAACCAGGTCTAAACCAGGTCCAAACCAGGTCCAAACCAGGTCCAAACCAGGTCTAAACCAGGTCTAAACCAGGTCTAAACCAGGACTAAAACCAAGACTAAACCAGGTCTCAAACCAGGTCTAAACTAGGACTGAACCAGGACTAAACCAGGACTGAAACAGGATTAAAACAGGATTTAACAGGACTAAATCATGCTGTGTGGACGTGTCTCCTCTTCTCCTATCAATAATATTTTTAATACAGTTAAGTAAAGTCTGGGCTTTTTTATTTTCTTTTAGCAGATAAAACATCTTATGTGAAGATTTCCTCGTCTTTGCTTCTCTACAGCAAATCAAGTAATCCAAAGTATTCAGATTACATTACTCACTTTAAGTAATTTAATGGATTAAGTTACAAACAACATTCTGGGGTATGTAATCTGTAATCTGTAGGAGGATACATTTTAAAAGTAACCTTCCCAACACTTCTTAAGTAGAAGTACTGATATCGGGGCAAAAAACAAAGCAAAACTCAAGTTAAAGTAAAAGTATCACATGAAAATTATATTATATTAAGGTACCAGTTTAAAATGTATTTTGTGAACATTTTGACGTCTAATAAAACTTCAAATGTTGTAATTTTGATACACATTTGTTCTGAATTTTGTCCAACAGAAACAACTGAATCAATATTTTTTTTCTGATAGTTTTTATTTGTATATTTTTGTTGGAACATGTTCAAAATAAACCCTCAGCCTTTTCAGCAGCTCTCAGACTATGATAAAAATACTTTCACTTTTCAGTCCTGTTCAAAATGTAGTGGAGCAGAAAGTACAGACACCTGCTCTCAAATGTAGTGAAGTAAATAGACTACTACTGCTATTTTTACTTAGTTACTTTCCACCACGGGATGAGGGACAGCTAAAAGTATTGATAAAATACTGATTTGTGTTGTAACATAGTGAGTTCTAGAGTCAATAATACAAATGATCAGGTTCAACATTTGTGAATTTGCCTTATAGAGATTTCATTTCAAAGTATGATGTAATCAAAAGTGAAACCTGCTTTTCCATCTCTGAGTCTGACGTCATCACAAAACGCCAGGTCTGTTCAGTCACGAGTGAATGACAAAGGTATGAGCCTGTAACCTTGTGAATAAATAAAGCAAACGGGCCAAGATATCAGCCGCTGAGAGAGAACTTTGTTTTAAGAGAAATAAATATAGACAGACTGCATTATGTTTGAGTGAAACTGTATAAATATTCAGCTTGTTTTCAGGTTAAAATATTACAGGTTTGTAGTTTTATAAGTGAGAGTGAGCAGGCAAAAGTAATAATGGTAACAGGCATCTGATTTTGTGGTGTGGTTGGATACATGCAGCGAGACCATGGACCTTGTCACTGTATAATAGAAATATCTGAGATAGATCAATATTTCACCCTTGGGAGGTGTTCATGTCCCACTGGGAGGAGGCCGCGGGGAAGACCTAGGACACTCCTAAGGGACTATGTCTCTGGGCTGGCCTGGGAACTCCTTGGGGTTCCCTCGGAGGAGCTGGAGGAAGTGCCCGAGGTGAAGGAGGTCTGGGAGTTCCTGCTTAGACTGATGCCCCCGCGACCCGGCCCCGGATAAAGCGGAAGAAAATGGATGGACCGATATATCAGTTGGCCGATATATATAGATAAATAAAACTGATATTTGCACTTTTTAGTCGAGATGGGACAAGATACAATTTTTACGAGATAAGACGTGTTGAGATTCAGTCCACAAGATCAAGACAAGATGAGATTTTGATATTTTTGATAATAAATGAAATAAAGCAAAAATGATGAAGCAAAAATGTTAGTTTTGCTGTCACTGGAGCACTGCTTTTTGGTATTACACTTTCTCAGGAGGAGTTACTCAGCCAAGTTAACATCTTTTTTATCCAAGGCAAATGTAAAATATGAGGAAAGAATCTCACAAGATCATTTTCCACATATGTGCACAGTCTTGTGGCAGTTTTGTCTCACGAAGTCTTGTCCCATCCCTGCTGTTTAGCATCGCAATCGCTTTTAATCTCCAATATCGATCAGTATGTGGTGTTGGGTGACCACGTGACTAAAGGAGACATCGTTAGTGACTACACCGCTCTGATAGGTTTACAGTGACATAAAGTCTTGCTTAAGCTTTTTTGCCATTTCAAATCACATTATCTGGGTAGAAATAATCAAAATCATCCCTATACATGAGCCAAAAAATATCAGCAGAGCTTCTCATTCATCTAAAAAAAACATCAGATGATCTATAATTTACATATCTGGTTCAATGATTGTGGATTTTCATTTTGGATATTTTGAATACAGGAAAACTTGCTATTTCCATCTATATATTACATAAATTTGCATCCTTTTAGTTTACAACCGACACACCGCAAAGAAAGAACATCTAACCTGGGTTAAACAGACTTGAATTCAGAATGTTGCGCTTATTTGAGTCATATGTACTTATTTGCTTGTATGACCTGGTGTATCTAGGTGAATTGTGTAACTTTTCTGGTAGACGGTCCGTCACATTAAACAGATCTACATTTAGTCAATTACAGGTGGTTTTACAGCTCAAAAATACCTAGAAAAACAGACATTCTGACTGTAAGCGGGGCTGCCTTTCCACAGATCTGACCTATAACTTGGTCTGGTTTGGTCTGCATCTTTGGTCAGATAGAAAGGTTTAAAGCCATACTGTGGAACATTTCAGACAAAGCAATAACATCTCCATGGAGATCTCTTAAGCGTTTGACAGACCCTCTACCAGAAAAGTTACACAATGCACCTTAAACCTTAAACTAGATTAAGTAATTTATTTCATGAGATGTTTGTCATATATACAAGAAATTTTAAATAATCATCAATCCACTAATGAGGTAGCCTTAAGATAACTGAGCCTAACATAAGAAGCAAGTGTTATAAGTCTAAGATCAGTCTAATAATATCGGCCAATCACATGAAGAGATTTTAACTAGTCAAAATGATTCAAATTATGATTAAGATTCTGAATTTACGTAATTTAAAGAGGAGGTAATATTTTAAACGGACTTTTTGGAGCTTTCTATCATACTATAACCTTGTTCTTTCATCAAACATCAGAGCGTCAAGAAGAAACTAACTAATTCAACGTAATTAATATTTTTGGCTGATAGAGCATTTTCGAAACAATAAAAGGTAACATGGTGATCTAAATATGTCTTGTGTTAACGATTCATACCCCACAGAAGAGTGAAAGCCCTCTTTAAAGGTGTATTGTGAAACTTTTCTGGTGGAGGGTGCGTCAAATGCTTTTCTCCATGGAGATGTTATTGCTTTGTCTGGAATGTCCCGCAGTATTGTATTAAACCTTTCTATTGCCGTGGAGACCAAACAAGACCAAGTTACAGGTCAGATCTGTGGACAGACGCCTCTTTTCGCAGTCAGAATCTCTGTTTTTATTAGTTTTTTGAGCTATAAAACCACCTGTAATTTCAATAAATGTCAGGTAGAGCTGTTTATTGTCACATTGTGGAACATTCCAGGAAGAGCAATGACATCTCCAACCAAAAAGTTACACAGTGCACCTTCAAACTTCAGATATTCCTTTTTACAGCGCGGTAGATCCATCACTAACTTCTTTTGTTCAGTAGACAGTTCAATATTGTGGCAGATGTTTTGTGTTTTTGTTCATCACTTGTGTCTTGTTTTCCGTGTTTTCGTTGGTCAGATGGATCGTAGATGATTCGTGGTGTGTTCACTTGGCCAGTCTCCGGGCCACGTCCTTGTAGGCGGTCTCGATCTCAGACTCGGCAGCGCAGGTGTTGGTGAACTCGTCTCGTGTGTAGGCGTTTTTCAGGTAACGCCAAACTCCGCTCATCGCAGACGGGATGTCATAGTTACGATACTTCTTCGCCACAACCTGCAACAGAAACAAATATTAAATGTGTTTCCATCTTCCAAAATTTGCTTTAAAGGTGCACTGTATCATTTTTCTTGTAGAGGGTCTGCCACTTGCTTGTCTCCATCGAACTTTTATTGATTTGTCAGGGAGTTCCACAGTATGGCATTAAATGTAGTTATCTTCATAGTAAGAATGCACCTTTTTGTAGCAACTAACACTTGAAAGTGTGTAAAAACATAGATAAGTAAGTACAATAACACACTGCAGTAACATCTCCATGGAGACGACCAGATGACAGACCCTAACCTGTAACTATAATAATCTAAATCCACCTGGACACAACAACTTCAGGAGTGTCAAAGCAGCTCATATATTGTTAAAAACACTTTTACCGTGTCATATGGGGTTCACACTAGAATCTGTTAAAACTACACTTTCTAAAGTGTAGAAAACTCAACACTGGTGAAGTGATGTAACCACGAGTTGAATCTGACACTGATTTTTTTTTACACTAGTGTACAGCGAAAAACTAATAAAACTAAATTGCTATATTTTAACACTTTATGAAGTAGAAATAGTGTAGAGTGTTCTTCATGTAACACTATTCAAGAGTAACTCTTTCTTCACTAAACAGTGTCAGTGCTGTGGTCATTCCAGTTCCTAATCCCTTTTACAAATGTAAAATCATGAAAACCAACACAAAATTCTATTTTAACTTAAAAATAATGCACAATTAATTTAAACAAGTCATCTTGTGTCATATGACATAATACTATGTTGAAACATATCTGGATGTTCTTCACTTTACTCTCAACAGCACCAACACTGTGAATTTAACACTTTTGAATTTGTTGTTTAGCGAGCGAATACTTTTATCTGATGTTTGTGCGTTTCCAGTTTCAAAATGTGCAGTACAAAAAAGGAGCAGTGTCATCATGCTGTATGTCCACCTTTAGAGATGCAGGTAGGAGTTACCATGGCGACACAACACACACTTTAGCAAAAACTGTCCAAAAAAGTTTTAAAGGGCCCATATGACACTATTCTCTGATCTATGTTCTAATGTAGTTTTCTCATCACAAACACACCTGGAGTTGTGTTTTGTTTCATTCACACACGTTTAACACACAAACCTGCACATTTAGGCTTAGGAGATCTTTTCTCAAACTGAAAACACTCTGTTCCACCTTGTGATGTCATGTGGCAGTAAAGGAAGTGCTCTACTGTGTTTTTAAACTCCACACAACTTCACTAGAATCATCTGAATAATTTCACCCCTGGAATTGCTGATCTTTCCTGGTCAAAGGAGCTGTTAACTTGAAAACTTCACTTCATGACATCACAAGGTAGAACAGAGCATTTTGAGCTTTGGAAATGTAGACAGACTAATAATAAAGCCTTACTCAAACATATTTTAATGAAACAAAACACAACTCAGGTCTGTTTTTGATGTAATACAGGCCCTTTAAATATTATCCACGTTGTATTTTTCGCCGCAGTGCCAGGATTCATCAAAATACCCCTCGATATTTTCAAAACTTTTGGTCTCATTTATTCAAATACAGTGTTTTAATATGGTTCAATTTCAAACAGCATCCATCATAATTAGAGGATTATTATTACAGTAATCTTTGTAACGTTAGATGGCGTGTGGAACAGCTATAGTAAGCGGATTTGGCTCTGTGGAGGATCACTGTTGAACCACTGGCCTTTCTTGGCAGCCTGTCTAACCTAATATACTGCAGAATCTATTAGAATAAGACCTTTTACTTCTACTACAGGTGACTCTGTGTGTTCTACTGCATGTTTCACTACCTGTTATGACACCAAATACCTGCTATACCAAAACACAGAACCTAAAGGACTCTTGTAAGATATAACTTTTTTGCTACTTATTTGGAATGTATTATTACCATTTATATTTTTGGCTCTTTGTTATTATATTATATTGTAATGTGTGAAATACTGTGTCCAACTAAGTTTCCTTGTGGATCAATAAAGTTTGTCTAAGTCTAAAAAAATACAGAGATGGATTTTAATGGTCATTGTTACACTTTTATGGGGTGCTCCACTGTGTTTTTAAGCTCCACGCACCTTCACTCGAATAATTTGAATGATTTAAGCCCTGGAATTTCCGATCTCAATAAAATAAAATGTATAACTGTAGTTGTTAACCTGAAAACTGGCGCTTCATGACATCACAAGGTGGAACAGAGCATTTTGAACTTTGGAGATGTAGACAGACTAATAATGATGAAGTATTACTCAAACATGTGTGAAACAAAACACAACTCCAGGTCTGTTTTTGATGAGAGAGGAACATTCTAACATGGTTAAAAGCTCACAAGAGTCAATTTTGTGTAGTATATATAGAACCTTTAGTCACTGCAAAACAAATGGACAAAAGGAAACACATAAACAGTGTCAGGTAACGCACTACTTTGTATTTTGTTACTTTGTTACAAGTTGCTGTAATATAACATTCCAGTTTTTTGTGTAGTGTAACGCACTACTACCGAAAATGTGGACTGAAAAACAAAACGGTTCCTTGTTCAATTCGGCACAATGTTACTTTTGTGTGTACACATGCCGGTCCCACACGCAGCCAGAGCATTGTGCCGCCTTCACCTCGAGCCTTTCCTGGCCGAGGTGCACTACCCCCAAAGAAGTGTGCTCAGCAGCGGCCCGTGATACCCGGAGAGAGGTACTTTCCCTTACAGTACTTGTCAACAGTCTCGTGCCAGTATTTAGCTTTCAATTGAGTTATCAAAGAGTTACCAAAGTAATGAGTAATGTAAAATGTTACTAAGGGATTACATTTTAAAGAAGTAACGAGTAATGTGCAAACACTACGTTAAAGTGACTTCCCAACAGTGCACATAAGACAACTGAACCTTGGTGTATTTGGGCCCGGTCAAGCAGAAGTAAACACAAGGCCAAAAAATTCAAGTTAATGCATCTGATATAAACATGTATTGAACAGATACATATGTACTCTAGTTTATGAAACTGTTGACCTTTTTTCTGTACCATTTTTGGTTCTAAAGTTCCATACGTTTTAAACAGACCATGTATGAAACATGGAACAAAAATTATTTCCCAAATTTCAAAGACCTGCAAATCATGTAAATAAATGGATGTATTTCATCATATCTTGTGTTATTTGAACTGTTGATGAAGGTACATGATTTTTTTTTTTAAATGTATTTAAAATGATAAAAAATTTGCTTGGAAGGACTGACATATTTTATAGAAATAGTTTCCTTTCATTTTGAAGTAATATTAAAGTATTTTTGGAAGAAAAAAAGCGACAAATTATGCAAAATCCATGCACCTTCTACTTGCTTGCACAATTTTTCCTCCGTTACTTTTCCCTCCGTTACCATGACCTTTCTTAATAAAAAATCTCATGACTCAAAAAGTAAGAGGTTTTTCAACCTAATCTTGTACCATATGGTAGAAAACTATATGAAGCAAATATTCAAACCAGTTTGTTAAGGATATGTAAGTGAGAACCAAGAGTTATCACTGTTTGTATTTATTGCCCAAAAAGTGCTGCATATTTCATTCCCTCCGTTACCAACATGAGTTTTTTAATTTTTTGTCAACAACTTGAAAGAATATCACAGGTTTAACTTGACCCTGTTGGAGTGTTAACTCTTTCCTACATTCTGATACTTTACTTATTTCAATAGTCCCTCTAGTTTCTGAATAAGACACATTTGAATGTCAAAAATCTGCCCCTGTTTCCCTCCGTTACCACTTGACCGGACACATTTGTACCTTGACTATGTGCAGTTTGGGCAGCAGGTTGCAGTCTGCTAGAGTCAGATCATTCCCGTCCAGGAACTGTCGGTTGGAGCTCTTCTCCTCCTCCATGCTGTCAGCGTCGATCTCCTCGGGCAGGGGGCTGCACAGGTAATCGTCCAGCTTCTGTAGGGCTTTGGTCAGGCCTTTCTCCAGAACTACACACAGGAACAACAAATTAATGATGTATTTATTTACTTATTATTATGAAGTTTAGTCATCATGGAGAATTGTGATCAAACCTTTAGAACTGTCTTTCATTTGTGAATAAAAAATGCTCTATATAAATTTTTTGGTGGAGGATCAGCCGCTTGTCTCTATGGGGATGCTGCTAGAAAGTTCCACAGTATACCATTAAACTTATCCATATTGCATTTAGGCCTATTTTTTATTTTTATTTGCTGATTTAAGAAATACTTCACGTTCTTCCTGTGAGTGGGCTTGCTCCTCTGAAGAGCTGACCTTCATGGTCCTAAATAAGTTTAATGCCATACTGTGGAACAAAATAGGTCATGGATCCACCACAAAAAAGTTACGCAGTGCACCTTTAATAATCTCCAAGATAGTATTTAGTTTTCAAAATGTCCTGACTCCCTGAAGCTGTACAACTTACCTTTATGTAACAGATAATACTCCCTACAACTGTCCAACAACTCACCCTTATGTGACAGATAATACTCCCTACAACTGTACAACTCAACTTATATTTTATTACTTATCTTGTACATTTATATAATTATGTTTTATTTCACACGTGTCTCTTGTTTTGTTTTTTTAACTACTTATGTATTATTTATTATTACCATTTATATATTTTTTTACTCTTTGTTATTATATTTTATTGTGATTTGTGAGCTGCTGTATCCAAATAATTTCCCTTGTGGATGAAAAAGTTTGTCTAAATCTATGCGCTTGAAAAAAAATAAAATAAAATAAAACATTTTAATTTATTATTATTAACATTAATATTGTTGCTATTCGGAGATATGGACATAATGAAATGAACAGTGCTTGATTTCCCCACTAGATGGCAGCAGTGCACACCCCATGCTCCAGTGTAGAGTAAAAGCACAGGCCTCTGCTGCTCCCTAGTGGACAAACACCGCTCTGCCTCTGCTGGTTTCATCTGAGTGAGTGCTGTAATGCTTGGATGTGGTTTTAACGAACAGCCCACCCGCATTCGCCTCTGGTTTGGTGTTCTTGATGTAGGCCGAGAACTTGGCAAAGATGTCATTTCCAGCAGTATTGGACTCTCTCTGTCTGGCTGCCAGTTTGGGATACCTGAAAAGAGACGGGACACAGGCTTGAGCAACATCTGGAGAAGATTAACACCTGGAACTAAAGCTCTGCTCACTCCAAACATGGTACAGACTCAGTATGAGGCTGCCCGACCGCCCTCTAAGCTTTCTCACACTTAAGGCCATTTATAATCTAAAAAACTTTACAGGCAATAAAAGAAAGATTTAGGTAATCTGGACTTTTTCTCATTGGCGTTGGTTCTTTCTCAACTGACAGTGAGAGAAAATATCGCCACCTGCCTTTTCAACATAGAAAACGTCATCATTTTTAAGTATGGTTGTATGTTTTCAAATGGGCCCGAGCAGTTTCCACGATCTGAAGACATAAAAACTGTATAGAAAAGCGTGAGAACAGAGGCCAGACTGGAGGAGGGAGCGACAAGGTCAACAAAATATTATCCAAACTGTTGTTTTAAAGGAGCGTTGTATAACTTTTCTGGTGGAGGGTCCATCAAACGTTTTTCTCCATAGAGATGTTATTGTTTTGTCTGGAATGTTCCACAGTATGGCATTAAACCTTTCTATTTTCATGGAGACTAAACCAGACCAAGTTACAGGTCAGATCTGTGGGGAGGCAAACCTGCTCACAGTCAGTTTTTCTAGGGATTTATGAGCAATAAAACCACCTGTAATTGAGTAAATGTAAGGAAGGAGTCATCAAACTACCGCCACAGCGCTGTGACCGACCCCCAGCCCCTCTGACCCCCACCACTTCAACTGACCCTGTGAGACAAAAGTTGTCATGGCGTTTTTTTTTTTTTTTTTTATTACTTGTTGTATTTTGTATTTGCATCTTGTATTTTGTACATTTTTTCAATTAAAAAAATGATATTTATATTAAGTATTTATATTTAAATTTAAATAATTATACAACATATTTACATTTGCTGCCAAATTTTTCAAGGAATTTTCGTCAGCTCGAGATTAAACAGTGTACTGTAGTGCAGTGTACTGTAGTACAGAGTACTGTAGTGCAGAGTACTGTAGTGCAGAGTACTGTAGTGCAGTGTACTGTAGTACAGAGTACTGTAGTACAGAGATAGATAGATAGATAGATTGATTTATTGTCATTGCATGAAATACAACGAAACTTCAGCAGAGCAGATCTGTAGCAGTAGTAGAGTACTGTAGCACAGAGTACTGTAGTGTGTTTAAGGACAGCAAAATGGCTCATGTTAAAGTAGGACAAGTTGACAGAGAGTGTCGAGTTTTCAAAGAACAGTAGACGACCAATTCTTTTTTTTTGTTCAGTGTTTGGACCGTGCAGTTTGTCTGATGTGTAAAGAAAGTGTGGAGGTTTTCAAAGAATATGATCTGTGTCATCAGGGTCAAACAATTCTGTTATATGACTGACCCTGGCCCCCGTCACAGTCAGGAGCCAGAGTGTGGCCCCTGCTGTGGACCAATGGCAGAACAATGACATATCCACACAAACAAGCAGGTGACGGACCCCAGGCAAAAATGTACATAGTGCACCTTTAAGAATGTAATACAATATTAAAGTAAAAATATGTTTTCAAGGAGCACTATGTAACTGTTTTTTCTAGAGGAGGAGCAGCCATCTGCTTGTCTCCATGGAGATGTTGTTGATTTGCCTGGTTTGATGAACAGCATGGTACAAAACGTATCTATGTCCATGAAAACAAGCATGTGATACTTTACAAGTCAGATCTGTGGCAAGGCAGCCCTGCTCACAGCAAGCATGCAAGCAAGCGAGGTATATTATTATTATTGTTATTATTACCAGCTGTAACATTTGCAGTGGAATAACTGTGAGGTAGATATGTTTAATGCCACACTGAGAAATATTCCAGGCAAAGCAATCACATCTCCATGGACACAAGCAGGCGACAGACCCTCAAGAAAATCACATCCATTACATGCATCTTTAAAGTAATATTTGTGCAGTGGTTAAATCATTCTCCACCGACTTGAAGTCCAGCAGTTCAAACATGTTACTACAACACGCTGTGGTCATCATTTAAACTGCAGGGGCATGTTTCAAGGCTTTATAAACTTTTGCTTACTAGTTTTTATCAACCTCTGGCGTTGGACTCCTTGTGGAAGGCTGATTTTGGGGATATTAGCCCTGTATTAGATTGGCATGAGATGTGGGAGAGTATTAACACATCTTCCAAGAATCCTCATCACCAACAAATCCATTACAATTTTGCACATCCGTTATTTTTAACTCCTAATAAACTGTATGTTATGAATTACGGAGGATTACAGATCCCTTATGTAAATTATGCTCTTTAAATTACATTGAGGCATTTAAACATATATTTTGGGAATGTCCTCCAGTTCAGGATTTCTGGAGGCAGGTTTCATGTGAACTTTTGTATGTTATTAGATGTAGTAGTCCCCTGTTCCCTGAACGCATTGATCTTAAATAATCTCTCACAAGTCCAATTTGAAGTGGCCAAGCAAAGGATTCTGTTATCAGGCCTCACAGCAGCAAAGAAATGGTGGTCACACGCTGGAAGATGCCACATTGTTTATCTATTCATGCTTGGACATGAATGTTTTTGGATCTAGCCCAACAAGAACTCTCTAGAACCAGAGTGCACAGGGCCAAGAGTGACACAATTACCTTATGGCATATTTTCATTAAACATCTCCAACTACTTTGGAGCAGACCTTTACTTGGGTGGACTGAGGTGGGAGGATGTTTTTCTTTTTGTATATAAAAGAAACTTTTTGGGGGATTGCAGTAATTATGTATATGTATACATGTACATGTAAGCTGTACACATATGATTATATCAAACATTTCAGATTTCATAAAAGGACAGTCACTGTGATTACTGCTGTAATTCAATTTAAAAAAAGTTGATCACAAAAGAAAATGCTGTGGTTGTGCCTTTGGGCAAGACACATCTCTCATGTGTTTTGAGAGGATTGTCCAATTTCAAAAGCAGACTACAAATGTAAGACATTCATTATAAGTCATTCTCTCATGATTTTCAAGTGAATATTTGTTTTATGCCACACTAACAGAGACGTTAAAGGACGTATCACACTGTTTTCTGATCTGTTCTAATGTAGTTTTCCTCATCACAAACAGACCTGGAGTTGTGTTTTGTTTCATTCACACATGTTTAACACACAAATCCGCTTTTTAAATAGGTCATGTGTTCTGTTTGAGATGATACACATAGTTTTTGGTAGTGGCACTAGATAGCAGTAATGCAACTTTTTGGATGTAAGCTGTTAAGTGTTAAACTCCACAGAAGAAGAATAGGTGGTGTGACACTATAAAAGCATGGCTCATCAGTAGCATCAGATGTACAGTTTGTTTGTTGTAATATCTTCATTAGTATACTCCTCGTGCATAAAGCTCAGAGCAGACTTACTTGGGAGGACTCAGCGTCTCCTCCAGAAACTCCTCGATCTTGTTGACGTCGGTTTTGACTTCTCCATTAAAGGTGAGGAAAGGAGGATGTGTGCCCGGAGCCAGGTTATGAAGATCTGCTGGTTTTCTGCAAATGATACACAAAAAAGGTTTAAGCTGCATTGTGTAACTTTTCTGGTGGAGGGTCCATTAAATGCTTTTCTTCATGAAGATGTTATTGCTTTGTCTGGAATGTTTCACAGTATGGCATTAAATCTCTCTATCTTCATGGAGACCAAACCAGACCAAGTTACAGATCAGCTCGCTCACAGTCAGAATTAGAGCCCGACCGATATATCGGTTGGCCGATATTATCGGCCGAATTGAGCACCTGGAAGCATATCGGCTATCGGCCGATATACTTGCTGATAGGGGCCGATATTTCACGTGGGCATGTTATACGTCGTTATAAAGCTTAGACTCTCTACATTATGTTCATTTAATCCAATTTACAGTCAGATAAATGTCCAAATATGTGGCTCCGCATCAGTATTTATCTGCGGAGTCATTTGTCTGTGTGAGAGTCACGTGCGTTTGTTTACATCCGCAGACACAGATCCAAACACTGGGATTATTTTCTTTTTACAGACAATCGGTTTGAGTCTGGATTAAAAGGACATTTATTAGTGCAGATTTGTGATGTGAGGAGGAGCCTGTGTGAGCGGTGAGTGTTGGAAATATGTCGACTTTGAAGCAAGTTTTTGGTTAGCGGTTAGCTGCTGTAGCTCCCACACATAAATAGGCCGTTTTCTATTGGTCTATTGTAAAGTGACTATATTGGCCATATATTTGTTACTGGACCTGCATTGATCTGTAAATGAGCTGTGAATAGACGTGTGAATGATGAAATTTGTGCATATAATTAATTACACCGCGGCACGCAGCATTTACGGCTAAAGGCTAATAGCGATTGTTGTTTATTTACTCGCTAGCAGTGATGGGTCGTTCGCGAACGAAGCGGCTCTTAGATCCGGCTCTTTGAAGCGAACGACGGGAGCCTGATCCTTATTGGGAGCCGTGTTTTCTCTTTCTCTCACTTTTTTCTCTTCATGCCGCGTGCAGACTCGTGGTAGTTTGACAGCGGCAGCGGCTAAAAACGAAACTTTCAAAACTCTGCGTGTGCATAGTGTAAAAAAAAAACTTGCAAAAATATATTCAGCATAAAATAAATAAACCAGGACTAATCTTGGGGTCGAGAGAGGGAGAGAGATAGAGACCGAGTCCTGACACTCAGTCCTGGTTAAATTCTGGTTTAGTTCTGTTTTGCACATAGTTTAGATCTGTTATAGTCCTGGTTTAGTGCTTTTTCAGTGCTTTTTCAGTGCTGGTTCAGTTCTGGTTTAGTCTGTTCTGGTTTAGTCCTATGACATTTCATGTAAAGAGGCAGAATAACAATAAATGTTGCCTAAATAAGTTTAAAATCCATAAGAGCCAGTAGAGCAGTTTTTTTTAAATAATTCAAGATTTACAGTGAATTTTTACATCACTAAATATATCGGTGATTATATCGGCTATCGGCAGCTTCAACTATCATTATATCGGTATCATATCGGCCACAACAAAATCCATATCGGTCGGGCTCTAGTCAGAATGTCGGTTTTCTAGGTATTTTTGAGCTTTAAAATCACCGTAGTTGAAAAAATGTAAAGTCAAACTGTTTAATGTCATACTGTGGAACATTGGCCTGATTCATCAGACGGTTTCACTTCATAGAATCGTCTGACCTCGCAGCATTAGGATTCGTTCCCTCGATGGTAGGCGGGTACTTTTTATCATTTAACCAATTGCGGCTATTTGTTCGTGACATCTGTAATGTGTCGCTAACAGGGTTAACTGGTATATTAAGCTTTTCCCAAATCCTGTAGGAAGAAGAACAATAACGTCTTTCCCCTTGATGAAATTCACCAAACATTCTCTTTGTTCCGGCTTTGAATCCTCCATCTCAGGAATCGTTGCAACACAGAATGTCTGGCTCTTCACTGATTGACTGGTGCCTGAACTCACACTTCTGGGGTTTTTGTGAATCATCTAGTTTATTCTGAGAGAAATAAAATTGAGCGGAGGCAGTAGGTGGCGCCAGCCTGACTAGTGGAACATTCTAAGCAGAGCAATGACATCTCCATAAAAACAAGAAGATGACGTATCCCCTATGTAACCAAAAAGTTACAAAGTGCACCTTTAAGTTATATGTATTTGTTTTTTTTTGGCAGGTTAAAATAAAAAAAAATTAAAAAGCTATATAAAAATGACTTTTGGCATCACAACAACGTGAAAAAAAAAATGCTATAAAGATATAACACAATATTTAATTCTATTTTCTCAGTTTTTGTCAGACAATCACAGGCTACAAAAAAGGCAGCAGTCCTCCATCACCATAGCAACTATAGGTGCACTGCGTAACATTTCATGTAGCGAGTACACTGCCACCTGCTTGTCTCCATGGAAACGTTATTACTTTTTCTAGAATGTTCCCCAGTATCAATTAAACCTACAGTATCAATCATGATGGAGAAGAGCAGGTCACAGCACTACGCTACATCACGGGTCAGATCTGTGGAGAGTCGCCCCTATTCACAGAAGGAATTAGTGTATTTTTCAGAAATAGAAACACCTGTAATGAATAAATGCTTGGTGGAAATGTTTAAACTCATACTAGGGAACATTCCAGACAATGCAATAACATCTCCATGGAGACAAGCAGAAAAGTTGCACAGTGCATCTTTAAGCAATGACCATAAATATATATTATGTGCTCACTCCTTCAAATCGGACATTAATGATTGACATCTGAGGACTTTTGACAGTATAATATTTTATTCAAATAATTAATCCATATATTAATCCATAACCAGGTATTTCTAAGTGGAATATTTAAACTACAAAACTAAACCGTTCTGCTTATACAAGATTCATTCACAGTGATTCGTACACATGTTTTGCTCCTGTTTCTGTCTCGCGTCCAGGATGTGCTCACCTCTTGAGGTCGACGGTGGTCACGTTGAACACGACTCCTTTGAGCCACAGGATCATGAAGAGACGCTGAGAGAACGGACAGTTTCCAATGCTCTCTCCATCACTGCCCGCCTGCGAGACACACACAGAGGTTAACAAAAGTATCATCCACTCTGCAGAATCAAAACACACAACTAGAATTCAAACATAACATTCTTGTCTGTTTCAGTGTTCAGAATCAGAAATGCTTTTATTGCTATTGTTGGTTAAAAAAATAAAAATACACGGGCACACAGAGACTAGGACAGTGGATAATTTTGCTTTTACTTCACTACATTTGAGAGCAGATATTTGTACTTTCTACATCCATAAAGTATTTTAGTGTTATAGTTTGAAACCTGCTGAAAAGGCTGAGGGATTATTTTTAACACATTTGTAGAGGAAACAAAAAATACAAAGAAAAGCAGCAAGGGGGAAAAAAATCGATTCAGTTGTTTCTGTTGAACAAAATCTTTAAACAGGTAACTTTTCTAATGGAGGCTCCGTCAAATGCTCTTTCACAGACTTTACCAAAAAATTATGAAATTGTCTGTACTTAAAAACACAGTAGAGCTTTTCTGATGTCATATCACCACATGACATCACAAATTGGAACAGAGCGTTTTCTGTTTGAGGGAAGATCTGCAGGGTTTGTGTGTTAAACAAGTGTGAATGAAACAACATGAATGAAAAACACAACTCCAGGTCTGTTTGTGATGAGGAAACTACAGTTACCATGGAGACAAAATGCACATATTATCAAACACTGTAAAAAAAAAAAAAAAAAAAAAAATCTGAAAACTCAAGAAAAAAATACAAAATATATTTAAAGGTGAATTTTGTAACTTTTCTGGTGGAGAGTCCGTCAAATACTTTTCTTTTTTTTAATATGTTATGGCTTTTTCTGGAATGTTCCACAGTATGGCATTAAACCAGATCAAGTTACAGGTCAGATCTGTGGAGAGGCGACCCCGCTCACAGTCACAATGTTTGTTTTTCAAGGTATTTTTGAGCGACAAAACCACCTGTAGTTGAATAAATGTAAAGTAGATCTGTTTAATGTCACACTGTGGAACATTCCAGGCAGAGCGATGACGTATCCATAGAAACAAGCAGGTGACGGACCCCTATCTCTGTTTTTTTTAGTGGTTGGTAATAATAAAATTGTGAAAAAAGTGCATAATTAAGGAAAGTTATAATGCATGTGAGTAAGTATAGTCACATTTTCGTTGGGTTTTGCTAATTTTTAAGCAATTTTTTGTATTTTACCTTAAACAATTACAATGTATGTCTCTCTTTACTGTTGTCAAGGGTCAGATTGGTCCTAAATAGGGACATCTGGGAAATTTCTTGAATAAAACTTGGACAAATAAGTGGTTTTGGATAAATCTGCTGGGATTGCATTTTAGTCATTTGCAGTTTTCTGTATTTTGGCAAAACAAATGACAATTTATGCTCCTCTTTACTGTTGGCAGGATCAGATTAGTATGATAGTCCTTTTTAGTCCTGGTTTAGACCTGATGTAGTCCTGGTTTAGTCTTAGTTTAGTCCTGGTTTAGACCTGATGTAGTCCTGGTTTAGTGACAGGGGACACAGGCCCGGGTAAACTGGGACGTCTTGGTCACTCTACAGACCCCCAAACAGAAAGTTACACAGTGCACTTATAAGTAACTAAACTGAGTACTTGTTCCACGACTGCTGATAGGTTAAATATTTCATTTCGTTACATAAGAACGTTAGAACATCCAGAATCAGGCACTTCTTCCAGGTAAAGAGAGCCTCACTTCCTCACTGCAACAGGATCAGCCCAGTGTCTCTGTGAACCCGTCACATGATCTGCTCTCTCAATTATGCAGAGGGTCACTGTCCACTGGGTCACAACGCGGGTCACACACACACACACACAGAGTCATTGGCCTCAGGTGTACAGCAGGAAACAGGTCAATACTAACACTAATGCTGCTCTTGGGATCTATTGATAGTTTGATTAGAGTGTCCAGACGTCCCTCTTTACCCGAGACAGTCCTACTTTTGAGTCCTGTGGCCCCTGTCTAGAGGTGTGCAAAAATACTGAAACATCAATAAATCGTATCTAGGGATGGGCATGATTAGTCGATTAATCAATAATTGATCATTAAGAATTTCGGCGATTATGTTCATTTTTTTTTGACAAACTGAATGTAGGTTGCTGTGCGTGGCGTAGGGTGACCAGACGTCGCAGATGTTCGGGTTTTCATGACCTTTCATTGGTTTAGCCGTTAAATCTTAGTTTAGTCCCTTAGTCCTTGATAGTAGTCCTGGTCTTAGTTTAGTCCTGGTTTAGACCTGATTAGTCCTTAGTTTAGTCTTAGTTTAGTCCTTATGTAGTCCTTAGTTATGGTTTAGACCTGATTAGTCCTGGTTTAGTTTAGTCCTGGTTAGACCTGAGTAGTCCTGATGTATAGTTTAGTCCTGGTTTAGACCTGTTTATGTAGTCCTGGTTTAGTTTAGTCCTGGTTTAGTTTAGTCCTGGTTTTGATGTAGTCCTGGTTTAGTCTTAGTTTAGTTTAGTCCTGTTTAGTTTAGTTTAGTCTTAGTTTTAGTTTAGACTTGTAGTCCTGGTTTAGTTTATGTAGTCCTGGATCTTAGTTTAGTAGACCTGATGTAGTCCTGTTTAGTTTAGTCCTGGTTTATGACCTGAGTTTAGTCCTGGTTGTTTAGTTTAGTCCCTTGGTGGTTTATGTAGTCCTGGTTTAGTTTACCTGATTAGTCCTGGTTTAATCTTAGTTTAGTCCTGGTTTAGACCTTTAGTCCTGGTCTTAGTTTATCCGTTTTAGTTTAGTCCTGATGTAGTCCTGGTTTAGTCTTAGTTTAGTCCTGGTTTAGACCTGATGTAGTTTAATCTTAGTTTAGTTCTGGTTTAGACCTGATGTAGTCCTGGTTTAATTTTAGTTTAGTCCTGGTTTAGGGGGACATTTCTTGTATAAAATTGAGACAAATCACTGGTTTTGGGACACAGGGCTCAAAACTGGGACTGTCCTGTGTAAATATGGACGTCTGGTCTCCCTCTGTTAATGTCATCAACCTTCCCTCTAGGTTTAACGCTAACTGAAGGCACAACTCTGTCTGAAGCTCTGTTACTCAAGTTAGACTTTAATCTGAGTTTTGTTTTAACACAATCTGACCAGAAAGAGTTGATTTTAGTTGGAACCACGACAGGTGATGATTTGTGCTGTTGAACAAGTCCTTCTCAAACACAGTTTTTTGGTTGGGGGTCCATCACCTGCTTGTTTCTATGGAGATGTCATTGCTCTGCCTGGAATGTTCCACAGTGCGACATTAAACAGCTTTACGTTACATATATTCAATTACAAGTGGTTTTAGAGCTCAAAAATACCTAGAAAACTTCCATTCTGACTGTCAACGGGGTCGCCTCTCCACAGATCTGACCTGTAACTTGGTCCGGTTTGGTCTCCATGACGATAGAAAGGTTTAATGCCACACTGTGAAACATTCCAGACAAAGCAATAACATCTCAACAATAGAAAAAAGCATTCGAAGGACCCTCCACCAGAAAAGTTACAAAATTCACCTTTAAATATATTTTTTTCTTGAGTTTTCAGAAATTTTTTGGACAGTTTTTGATAATATGTGCATTTTGTCTCCATGGTAACTGTTATGTTCTGTATTATAATGTAGTTTCCTCATCACAAACAGACGTGGAGTTGTGTTTTGTTTCATTCACACATGTTTAACACACAAACTCTACACATTTAGGCCGAGTTCTTCTCTCAAATAGAAAACACTCTGTTCCAGTTTGTGATGTCATGTGGTGATAGGACATCAGAAAAGCTCTACTGTGGTTTTAGGTACAGACAATTTCACAGTGTTGGGAAGGTGACTTTTAAAATGTATTCCCCTACAGATTACAGATTACATACACCAAAATGTAGTTTGTAACGTAATCCATTAAATTACTTAAAGTGAGTAATGTAATCTGAATACTTTGGATTACTTGATTTGCTGTAGAGAAGCAAAGACGAGGAAATCTTCACATAAGAAGTTTTGTCTGATAAAAGACAATGAAAAGCCCAGACTTTACTGAACCAAATTAAAAATATTATTGATAAGAGGAGGAGACACGGTCCATGCAGCATGATTTAGTCCTGTTAAATCCTGTTTTAGTCCTGGATTAGTCCTGGATTAGTCCTTGTTTTAGTCCTGGTTTAGCCCTGGTTTTAGTCCTGGATTATTCCTGGTTTAGATCTGTTTTAGTCTTGGTTTAGTCCTGGTTTAGTCCTGGTTTAGATCTGGTTTTAGTCCTGGATTATTCCTGGTTTAGATCTGTTTTAGTCTTGGTTTAGTCCTGATTTAGTCCTTGTTTTAGTCCATGTTTTAGTCCTAGTTTAGTCCTGGTTTAGTCCTGGTTTAGATCTGGTTTAGTCTTGGTTTAGTCCTGGTTTAGACCTGGTTTAGACCTGGTTTAGTGTCTGGCATTGAGTGGAATTACCGAAGAAAAAAAAACAAAAAAACAAAAAAGGGAATAGCCCAAAATGTGAAAACAATCCATTTATTTCAACAAAGTAACTGTAATCCAATTACCACTCACTGAAACAGTAACTGTAACTGAACAGTTATTCATAATTTGTACTCTGATTACATAACTCTGGTACATGTAATCTGTTACTCCCCAACACTGTAATTTCATAATTTTGGGTAAAATGTGTGGAAAAAACAAATGAGAAATGTACTTCCTGAAGCTCGAGTGGTCACTTTGTGTATTTTGGACCAGCGTAAACACACGAGTGAACGCTCCGCAGGTCAAACCCTCACAACACAGAGCTGCGGGCAAACACCAGAAGAGACGTGTGTGTGTAAAAGCAGCTGATCTGTGTGAATGCTCTGTCACACACCTGCTTTGTTGTGCTTCTGGGTCTCTGCAGCGCGGAGCCGTCACACAAAACACACGAGCTGATAATAGCCAATCAGAATCTAGAAGGTGAAATACAAAAGCTGCCCGACAACAGAGCCATGTGCACAGAGGACGGCCGCGGACAAAGCCGTACCACATGAGAGCCACACGCACGATAAGTTATGCAATGTTACTCCTATTA